TGCTGTGGATGCAGCCGGGCTCACACAGAAACACAGTGGGAAGCGTGGACCCATGCCGTGGACGCAGCCAGGGCTCACACAGAAACACAGTGGGAAGCATGGACTTGTGCTGTGGATGCAGCCAGGGCTCACACAGAAACACAGTGGGTGGTGTGGACTCGTGCTGTGGACACAGCTGGAACTCACACAGAAACACAGTGGGTGGTGTGGACCCGTGCCGTGGACACAGCCAGGGCTCACACACACAGAATCACAGTGGGTGGTGTGCAGGCCACAGAGACTCCATTGCTGACCCCAGGCCCAGAGGCCATGGCCGGCTGCTGGCGGCCTGGTGAGGTCGGATGGGCAGATGGGGCTGTGAGGAAGGGCAGGTGCAGTTGGGCCTGAAGGCCCAGCCAATACTGTCTCTGCAAAGCCAACAAGGTGACGTGCCTGGCCCCCTCCTCCCGCCTGTGCCTCTGGTGGTGACCAGAGTGGCCCTCTGGCTGACTCGACCACCCTGACAGGTGAGGGCGGCTTTCCGGAGGCCCTGCGCCACACCTCAGCGGCCCCAAGTAAGCTCCTGGCCTCAGCAGCTCTCCTCACTGTGCTTTCCCAGACCAGGTGCTCCGAGGAGCCGGGATGTCCCCAGGAGTCCCCTGACGGGCTTTTGCGTGCAGACGGAGCCTGAGCATGCCTGGTCCCACTGAGAGTTCCAGGGAGCGCGTCAGAGGCCTCGGCCGAGTGCAGCCCGAGCAAGGGACCTCTGGCAGCCTGTGGCCCCAGAGCCCGTCTACCCACACCGTGCCTTCGGGCCTGGGCCCGGCCTCAGTCTTCCAATCTGTGACATGGGCAGGTGGACGTGCTCCTCGTGCGTGGCTTTGGCATGCGGACCGCCTGAGCCCTGATGTGGATGTGAGAATTTAGAGCTAGGCCTGAGGCCAGTTTGCTGCCAGGCCAGGGAGGGTGGTTTGTGGCAGGGGTGTGACGTCCAGGGAACCCCTTCCTGTAGCCTGGCCCGGCATCTAGGCCCCTGGAGAAGGGAGCCCACTGGAGGGGTCAGGGGCCATGCCTGGGAGCCACAGGGTCCAGGCAGATGCTGGTGACAAGGGACAGGAGCTTTTGCCCGGCTCTGGGGTTCCACGCAGCTGCAGAGCCACCAGGATGTGCCAGGGGCTGCTGAGGCAAGAGCCAAGCAAGAAATGATTGGGAGGGGACTGTCCCTGGAGGGGGGCGCGACCTTCAGAGAACCGGCCCAGGCTTTCCCCACCCTGGCCACCTGGGGGTTTGTGACTCTTGGAGGAGCGGCCCAGGCTCCCCCGCCTGCTGTGTGGGACGCACGCTCTAGGGCTCTGTGCAGCCCCAAGAGCCTCTGTGAAAGTCTGAAAATCAAGGACTGCAGCCGAAGACTTGGGGCCAACTTGGAAGCCGTTGTCACCTCCTTGGTATCCCCACAAAATGGCAGCTATGGGCCATGTACTCCTGTGACAGGCTAGGCACGAACGCAGACAGGAGTGGATGTCAGCCCAGCTCTTCCCCAGAGAGCACAGTCCTGTGTCCTGCCCCAGGGTGCAGCTGGAGAATGTGCCAGTACCAGAAAAGCCTCTCATCCCCGGCCTGGGTGAGGACCTGGAGGCCACGTTGCCCAGGGGACCCTCCCCGGGAGGCCTCTCTGCACACGCAGGCCTCCGCAGCCCAGGCAGACGACGGGGGTTTTGTGACTCTTTTCCAGGTCGAAGAGGATCAGAGCTTGGACTCTTGGCCTCTGGCCTTGGGGAGGCCACTGCTTCAGACCCCTAGGTGCCCTGTCCCCAGTGGGCCGTCAGCTTTAGGCCTTGGGACGCCTGAGGGATGTTCCCTGTTTGGGGGAGCCTGTTTGCCTGTGGGGTCCCAACACCCTTGCTGGTGTGGGCGTTCGAAGAGTTAACGGCGGCTCTGCCCCAGCCCCTGGCCCCTCCGTCCGCCGTGGGTCATTATTCCACAGCCCGCTGAGCGCTGGGCTCATCCGCCGGCCCAGCTGTTCTCTGGCCCTCACACCTGCTCTGACTTAGGAGCCCTGCTGCTCCCGCCTGGCCCTTACACCGGCTTGGACAAGACACGGCTCATTTTTCAACCTTTAAAAGTTTCTAAAGAAGAACCCAATCAATCCCTTTCTCTGTGGCTCTCAGAGCTCCCACCTGGAGGCGCTTCCAGCAGTGGGGCGGGTGTGCCTCGTGCCAGGGAGGTGGGACTGAGCCCTCAGGCCTGGCCGTTGTGCCCAGGATTGCAGCCCCTTGCTCTGGCCACCCACAGAGGACCCTGGTGCCCCAGCTGCCCAGTGCCCTCCCTGCAGCCCACCCCACTGTCCCAGGAGCTCTCATCCGCGGAGCCCAGCCCCCAGCCTGCAGAGCCCAATCTTCCACTCCAGG